GTCGAAAAATCTTCATTAATAAATTTTTATATAATACTACATATAGTTTTGATTTACATAGTATACCGACCACCCCAATGTTTCATGTAACGCCACTATCTGTCTATAATCCGCCTTGAAATAAACGTATCCACCCAACAGGTTTCAAAAGGCATAAATTTAAACCAAGCCCAGGACAACAATAAACAAATGAATATTCATTTATGCATATAAGGAAATAATCAATGACGATAACCATGAACAATAATAATAAATAAGAAATGAGGAAGTCTGGCGATTGTTTTTAAAAAAGTTACAAAGCAATAGATGTATTGAATTGAAGAATATGCTGAACATTATAACATACAAAATCTATCACTCCAATCCCAATTTAAATCTGGTCCACTATGTACGCCTTTTCGTTATCGGATTCGTTATCTGTTATATTTTTATCTAGTTATCGGTTTTTCAATATAATTTGGTATTTCAAATACATGATTTACACCATGTTTCTTATATTGTCTGAAACAATATTTTACTAAAGTTTTTTCAGGACGACTTAGGTACTTTGATCCATCACTTTCGCAACCAATTTGGCCTCTTCCATTTAACCAAATACTACTATGTTTTAATTGTTTTTCATGAAATGAAAATCCTCCACAACAAATAACGTCTTGATCGTAATCAAATCCAAATGTATTTTTAATAAGGTAGTGATGAACACGACCATTCCCGACATCGCGAAGGACTTCTAGTGGCCAGTTATCAGTACATTGTATGATGATATAAAAGCTTTTTCCTCTATATCCTGATGCTAAGCCGCCTGTATTCTCCCATGTAAATTCTCCATCAATCGCATAGACAATCATACCAGCATAATTATTATCTTCGTCAAATTCATCACTAAAGCCTGAAATTTTGCAAGTGATATTTCCTAATTCATCTTTAATACGTTTATAAAGCTTTTTAAAATTTTCTTTACCCATCTTTCTTATAATAATTAATTTAAAATTTATTAAGAATTTTTAAATAAAAATTCTTAAAAAATTCTAACTCGTTTATAATGCAAAAGTAGGTTTATTTATAGGATAGAAATTTAATTTTTGTGTAAGGTTTTCGAGTACAGAACTTATTTGAATTGCTTAATCAATAAAAAGTCATTTTTAACAATCTGTTTTAGCAAATAAGGGAGCTGACAATATTAAGTAATTATACCCCCAGAGAATACTTGCTAAACAATGCAATTTAATGAATCAAGTTGATATATAATATTAAATTGCATTGTCAAATGAGTATTCCTTGAGGGGCTATAATTACCTAATATTTGTCAGCTCCTAAAGCCTTGGCATCCCATTTTGCGTGCCGGGCCATAGAATTTTCTAAATATTTATGCTGTACTTCGAAACATGACTTCAAATCAGTATACACGGAATTCTAAATTGACTATATTTGTCAAATTCAATAATCAATTTAAGAAATTTTTTTTTATTATTAACTAGTACAAAAATTATAGCAAATCAGTATAGTATACTATATTGATCAGCTATAATTACTATATAACACCGGATCAGTATAGTATAAAGCCTAAACTATACTGATATGCTCACCTATACTATACTAATCTGCGTAACTATTGAATTTCTGTACTGTTATACAAACTACATTTTTCTTAAGGTTGCAATTATAAATAAATCATTACGTAACTTGTATTATACAAACTACAGTTTTCTTAAGGTTGCAATTATAAATCATTACGTAACTTGT